CATGTTCTTGGTGATTCCTATTCCACAGAGACCTACAGTGATCTTTTTCTCCCTTCTGGATAACCAAAGTGTGGTTGCTCACTGAGCATTACTTTGTCTCCTTGTGCGACTAAGAGGGGACATGAAAAACACAGCTGGTTGGAGGACAAAGAGGAGAAGCACTGCCCAGCCTCAGCCTAGTGACCCAACTTCTCTGCATCTCATTCCTCTCATCTGTGAGAGGTCAAGCAAGCCCCGCTTAGTGAGTTGTTATGAAGGTGACTGAGAAAATGGGCACAGATCTCAGTGTCTGGCGTCCAGAACACCCTCCAAATCTCCATTCCCTTTGCCTTTGGCAGCAGGGAGAAAGTGCAAAGGAGAAGTGAGGATGGCGCCACTTCTGAGAGCACCTCACTATGGCCCGTCCCACAAACAATCCCTGTCATGGATTGAATTATGTCCCCCCAAAATTCGTATGTTGAAATCCTAACCCCCAGCACCTCATAATGTCACCTGATTTGGAAATAGGATCATTACATATATGACTAGTTAAGATGAGGTCATTAGGGTGGGCCCTATTCCGATTTTATAGGTAGCCATATGAAAAGGGGAAATTTGGACACAGAGACATGCACACAGGGAGAATGCCATGAGAAGATGGAGACAGAGGTCAAGATGATGTTTCTAAAGCGAAGGAGTGCCAAGGATTGCCACCAAACTTCCAGAAGCTAGGAGAGAAGACTGCAATAAGATTCTTCCTCATAGCCCTCAGAAGAAACCAACACCTTGATCTCGGGCTTCTATCCTCCAGAACTGTGAGACAATGCCCTTCTGTTGTCTGCACAACTCAGTTTGTGGCGCTTTGTTACAGCAGCCTTAGTGAGCTAAACCCCCTCCAGAGATGGCTCTCATTGGTGACATCAAGGAAGACAGCTCTTTCCAGACAGAAGGAGGCACTGCAGTCTCACAGAAGGGAGGAAAGACACTTGCAAGCCCTGAGAACGCTTCTACAGGCTGTCTGCCTCGTGCTTCCCTAAAAGAACAATTTGCCATTCTGACAACACTCCTGCTGAAAGCCCCTGAATCCTCAGGAACATCATTTATTAGCCATAATGTGATGTCTCTTTGTGTTTCTTGATTTCCCTTCCATATCTGTCCACTTTTGTTTTCCCAACTTGACTGCACCCTTGTTGAAGGCTGGGACTGTGCTACAAAGCAAACAGGGAGTCAGGAGACCTCTTTGATAAAAGTAATTTGTGTGACGTTAGGCATGTCACCTTTCCCCTCCAGGCCTGGTTTCTTCACCCATCAAATAGGATCATAATCGCTAAGGCCCCTCCAGTCATGATATTCTGTCTTTCTGACTCTTAGTCAGATGCTTGCTATTTAACCAACCCACCTGATTGGAGTGCAATGGGGAGGGAGAGACCTGGGAATCTCGTCTCTTAGATGTGCTGAGAAGCCAGTCATTTGGGGTTAAATGAGTCAGACATTTAATAAGAAGGCTAGACCCCCAGGCGTAGGGGGCAATATGGCACTCCGGGGGCTCCAAGCCCCAGTGGATCCCCATCCTAGACTCCAAGGCCATCCTGCTTCAGCACCTGCCTTTCTAGAAGGCCACTTCCTTAGTGCTCACTGAGGCTTCCTCCTTCCTTGAAGGTGTGTGGCCCTGGATACTATATTGCATGCACCCGTGGGGGGCTGGGCTCCTTCATGTTTTTTGGAAGCCTCATGTCGCTGCTTTGGGGGCTTGAAGGAGCACTGTCTTTCCAAGTGGTTATGACATTTTGGTTAGACCATTTTTTGTGTCTTACCTCAGAGGGATCACAGCATGCCTCAGCCCCTACTATTGAGAAGGCTGAACCCAATCTAAGAGTATTTAAAAGTCTTCCTAATGGCAGACACCAGGAGACCAAGGCATCTGTGCAAATTGTGCTCTTTTGGTTCCAGGAAACAGGGACTCACACAGACCAGACCAAGTACGGTGGGTGGTGTAGGAGTAGAGGCATGGACCTCATTATGAAGTGGTTATAAAAGGGATGGAATCTTCTAGAAATCTAAGACCAGAATCCTCCAATCAATGACAAGGTTCATAGAACCTGGTACTGGAAGGTCGTTCTAGTTCCAAGCTTCCTCCAGGACCTCACTCCAGGGCTCTGCCATTAATGACATCCAACTCCTCCCCAGGGATCAACTTCTCTCTGCATCTCCCTGCTTCTCTTCCCCATTCCCATTCTCTTAGTGTTTTCTGAAGGATGCCTCTGGTAGAACACGAGATAACTTCTAGAAGGCACATGAGTGAACATTTTTATCTCGAATGCTAACTATATTAATTTATATTTGGGGAAAAATATACCTAAAAAGTGAATTGATTTAAAGAAAAATAGTACATAAATATTCAAAGTATGATGCCATAGCAAAATCATGAAGGTGGATCACAAATGACAAATTGGAGAAACACTGGACTAGCTGGTTGCCTCCATATTTCACTACAAATTCCTAGGACACAGAAATATAGCAGCCCAATTTATTAGCAGTCCCTATTTAGGCAGCATTTTACATGCCATACAGGCTACACGCCTGCCAGTGGTTGGTTGCCCTTGGATCCAGTGTCCATCCTTAGACAAATCAGTGGTCAGGAAGGTAGGTCCCACGATATGGAATATGGCTGCCTGAGTTCTGACTCTTCAGCAGGAGCTGAGGACAAAGCAGTTTCTTTTGGAGAATTTTGTGGCCAGGTACAGTTTGATGCGTTCTTATGAGCCCCTGGTTCAACCATAACTCTTGGGGCACTGCCACCATCAGGGAGTTTCCGAGGTGGACATGTGGTTTCCACCCCCTACTGTAACCTGTACTCCGAAGGGTGGTTGTGAGAATTGAATGTGATCACTGATACAAAAGTGCTTTGAAAATCAAAAGCACCTCAAGATGTTATAATCACTGTTTAATACAATTATTACTATGAGTGACACAGAGAGAGGAATGGGAACCCAGATTTCAAAGAAAATACCTCATTTTTCCCAAGAAAAGAAAATGATTGAAGTTCTACCAACAACAAGTTGTGCGAACTGAGACTAGTTGGCCAATTCTTAGCTATGTGACTTTGGACAAGTCCCTGTCTCAGTTTCCTCATTTCTAAAATGGGAACATTTGTGTCTGTTCTTCCTTCCCTCAGGGTTGGGTTGAGGAGCGGGAGCCTGTCCTCCACCCTCCGCCCCAGTGTGCTGGCCAACAGTGGGCAAGTTTCTTCATGCCTTTTGCCTCAGTGCCTTCATGGGTAGATGATAGATTTGAACTAGGTGATCCTTACCATCCCCATCCCTTCCAGCTCTTGAATAGCTCTGCTCCATTCCAACCACCATGCCTCTCCAATTCTACCCTCCAACCACCACCTTGGTCCTCAGAAAACTTTCTTCTAAAAACCTTACAATATAGAGCAGAACGTCATGCACACTCAGTTTTATAAGTTATGTACTTGTGAAAAGTTGCATTCACATCCCACTTTTGTAATAAAATTCTATGTTCCCTTTGCCCTAGCTTATCTGTTTAGAGATGTTTGCCTTTTACTTATTATTGATCGTCAGTTGGCCGCAGTCACTCATTCTTTGATCTTCCCTTTTGTTTGAACTTGAATGCCACCCACACTGTCTGCCCTGGCCCCCTAGTCTTTCCATTAAACAGTAATGATACATAAACAAGCTTGGAGGCCCTCAGGGAGCAAAGGGGCGCTGGGGCCAGCCTCTCTCGGGCCTGTGAATTGTCATTCCTGAAGCCGTCTGTTTTGTTAAGTTCTTCTGCCAAGTTTCTCTGAGAGCAGAGGGATCATTTTCTCCCATTTCAAAGAGCAGGGTGAGCTGAGGCCTCGAGCTGGCAAGTCCTTTAAAGTCATTTTCAAAGGAAACCTGAGCTGAAAGGCCATGCAGCTGGCCAAGGGTGGCATGACTTTCTGAGGCTGTCTCTGGGGCTTTGGGTGGTCAGTTCCCCTGAGCTTCCCAGCACGTGCTCAGAGCCTGCTGCAAGGCACTGCCAAGGGACACCACTGTCTAACCGGTAGCCCACGGGCCCAGGGAAAGTCTTCACTTTGCGTCCTCCCCCACTGCCACCCAGGAACAGGAAGTGGGCATTGCAAACTTTCTCCTCTGGGCCAGGGGCCAGAACAACACTTGTTGTCACCATTCTTAGGTCTTGTCAATCAAACTTGATCCTTGGGGTTTTTTGAGGTAAAATAAAACTGAATGCCAAAGCAAGCTAGGGTGAACTTATGTCTGAACTGTGGAATCATAAATGATCTAGTTAATCCAATCCCCTCATGGACAGGTTGGGAAGAGGACCCAGAGGGGAAGTGGTTGTCGCAAGTCACACAGGATGAGGTGACTGACTTCCACCAGAGTTCTTTGGACAAAGAGCACTTCCGCAGGGATGGAGGTTTGCTTGGCTAATAGCCATCCATAAAGCTTCTGAGTCTACATTGTCTGTCAATGATCCAGCAGATACCAAAAAGACTCCAAAGGCAGCAAGGCTGAGAAATGTATGATGGGGCCAGATGCCTTCAACTGTCCCCTGGACCCAGAAGAGAGAAATTATGTATGAAACCAGGAGGCAAGATGAGCCTTCTCGCTTCACAGAATGGACAAATTCTCCAAGGCCCAGAGGAGGGAAGGACTCATACACATCTGCGTCAGAAAGGCTAGAACTGAAGTCATTAAATGCTCAGCCTAGAGCTCTGAGTGACAAAACAGACAGAGGAGGGAACTAGCCAGAAATAAAGGTGAGAGGTCCATCCAAAATCCCCCACCTGAGCTCCCCATGACCAGGGTCTGGAGTCTGCGGTCCCTCCTGGTGCTGGGAACTGAATGTGGGTCCACGCTCAGCTACCAGAAGCAAACCCCAGCCTCGGCATCTCCAAGACTCCACCAGCCAGCAGCCGCTCCCCTCCGTGAGCGTTTCCCACTAGGTTAAGAGTCGAGAGACCCTTTCAAGTCCCAATTCCAACACAAGGAAAGACTTCCAGAACAAGCCGATTTGACTTTTCAACATTTTATTCTTGTATTTATACAGCTATATTTTACAAGGCGGTAATGCAGTTTAGACACAGCCAAACCCTGTCTCCATAGTAGTTATAACACAAGCACGACGCAGAATGTGATGAGACAAACATTCCCAAAGAGAGCTTAGTTAGTGACAACTTCAAGTCCCTGTGTCTGCCTACACTTCAAAAAAGGATGGCGCGCTCGTCCATCGTTGAAAACTTCCATGAAAAAAGGCACCGTAGGACACGTTGTACAGGTATATACAAACCAAAAACTAAAACAAAACTACACGTTTTTCCTTCTGCAGTTTTTTTTGTTCTTTTTTTTTTTTAATACACACTTTGTAAATTGTAAACCTTCACTTGCAAAAAAATACAAATACACTGAGGCATTTTAGACAAAATATTTTCTTACTTATACAGATGCAATACTTAAAATATTCTCTTAAGTGCTCTTTCTCAATAAAGATTCTCAGATCCGTGTCTGCCTGCAGATACAAAATCGAGCCTTTAACGCAGTTTTATATTTTTAATATATCTTTTTTAGGTTTATATATATTTATTATATATATATATTTATATATTTACAACTCTGCCATATATTCCTTCAACTTTGGTTAAAAAAATTAAAGCCCTCTCTTTGATAACATACCGTTAAGTCTCTTCTTTTAAAAGAATGCACATTTACATACAAAAGAAACATCTGTTCCCACAAAACATATACATTCCTCATTTTGCAGACTAAGTCAAGTCAGAACTTTTGCCTACTCCCCAACTTCGATATAGAAAATGATTTTGCTTTTTGCTGACATGGTTCGCCTTACACATAGGAGAAGAAGCAATATTATTTTCTTAATGTTTTATGGCAGTGGGGGAAGGGGAGCTGCCTCGGCTCCCGGTCCCCACGCCCCTCCCCCCACCCCACCCCCAGCTATGATTTGCACTAGTGGATGAAAGAGGCACTACATCGTGGGATGAACATCGTAAAGTGTTACAGTATCCTTTGGGTAGATTCCGAGAAGGGGCTCGAATGGAAAGCATCAACACTCCATGCTTCAGCAGGCTTTGGGGAGCTCCGGGGGCAGGTCAGTGGCGGACACGCGGTATTGCACCTTGGTGTTGGTGATGGCGCCGTGCTTCTGGCGCAAGTGAAGTCGCAGCTGGCTTTTGTGACGGAAATGCAGGTTACACTTCTCGCACTGAAGGTAAAGCAGAGGCACACTGTTAACCGTCATCCACCCAAGAAATGTGTCATTGCTCAAAGACCTAGAAAAGGAGATTCTCCCGGCGAGGGATCGGGCAGCTCTCCCCTCTCGAAAGGCAGGTTAGGAACCCGTATGATTCCCGGCTTCTGCTAAGGGACAAGTCAGCTTTGTGCAAATATCCCTTCCCCGCTTTCCAAAGTGTTGCTCACGCTTTTCCCCTCCTTGAGATGGGTTTCCCTACCTTGACTCCACAAGTTCAAGTCTTATCCAAAAATGCAGTTCGGATGTAAACTCCTCTAATTATAAGGGCTTTCCTGAATCTCTCTAAGGTGAAAATAATCCCTCTTTCCTTTGAACCTCTGTAAGATTTCCAGCCTTGCTATCCCGTGCATTAGCATCCTTATCAGGTGGGGAATGTTTTGAGGGCAGTGACTACTTCTTACGAAACTTTATCATCTTCCTAGTACCTAGTAGAATATGCCTCTTAGGCAATTATGCAATAAATCTGAACACATTTGGACAAATGAGTTAGACCGGTTTGAATTCATGAAAATTCTCAAGTCCGGGACATACTTTAAAAAACACAGTTATATTCCTTCTTAGTGTGTACACCTTAGATAAGCTAACAAGGCATTAGCAAGTAGAGCTGTTTCTCGCTTTGATTCAATGAAAGGATGATAAGAGTTTTAGTGAAGAAGTTACTTAAAAGTCAAATGGATGACTAAATGTACTAGGGTAACCTGGATGCAATCCTGGAACAGAAAAAGGGCATTTAAGGTAAAAACTAAGAAAATCCAAATAAAGTATGAACTTTAGTTTATAATAATGTATCAGTTATGAGTTCATTAGTCGTGACAAATGTATCCTCCTAATGTAAGACCTTAACAACAGGGGAAACTGGGTGCATATGGGAACTCTCTGTACGATCTTTGCAACTTTTCTATAAATCTAAAACTATTCCCAAATAAAAAGTGTAATAAAATATGTTCATATAAAGAATTTGTTTTAAAGTAAAAATGAAAATACATTTAGAAAACTGAAAAATAAAATGAGTGGGTTGTGAGTAGAAAGAGTCCTGGTCTCGGGAGATGTGGGGCCCACAGAGTCTATGCCACTTGCTGCTGTGTGTCCTGAGTGTGTCATTTCTCTCTCCGGGCCTTGGCTTTCCTTCTGTAAAGGGACAGAGTCTATACATTCTAAAGGTCACCCTTAACTCTGACATTCTGTGCATCTAAACTTCTAGCAAATAATTATAATACCAAATATTTATTGTACTCTTACGATGTGCCAAGCACTATTCTGAACACTATCGAATTCGTTAACTTAATACAACAACTCCATGAGGTAGGTACCAGGATCAGGCTCATTTTACAGATGAGGAAATTAAGGTGCTGAGAGAATAACCAATTTGCCAAGAACAAACAGCAAGTAAGAAGATATTCACTCAAGGACTGATAAACAAGGGAATGAAAATAACCACATTGCGCAGGCTAACATTTGTGACGTGGGTTAACCACTCATTGATTCATTCCCGTGCCGTCACTACCTAAGTGATGCCATAAACCCACCAAAGGCAGCATTGCCTAGAACAGGAGTTTCCACACTCGTAAGCCATGGGGCTCTTTTTTCAAATTAAATGGAAACTGAAAAGGTGAAAGAGGTTGCAGTCTTAGTCCAGCCCTGCCCTTCGGGGTTGCAGAACCTCAATGACTGAGAGAGCACAGTTCGAAAACTGCTCATCATTTTATAGAGAAAGAAAACTGTGGCCCAGCGAGAGGGTCAGGGCTTGCCCGAGGCCTTGAAAAGGGTTAGTGTCAGAGTCAGAATAAGAACCCAGATCTCTCAGCTGCCCAGCCAATATCTTTCCCTTCTCCAGCAGAGATCAGCAAACTATTTCTGTAAAGAGCCAGATAGTAAGTGTCTTAGGCTTTGAGGGTCGTACATCCTCTAACACAACTACTCAACCCTGCAGTATAATTATAAGCAGCCACAGACAATACGTAAGCAAAATAAGCGTGGTGGTGTTCCAATAAAACTTTATTTATGGACACTGAAATTTAAATTTTATATAATTTGCAGGTCACAAAATATTATTCTTTTGATTTTTTTTAGCCATTTAAAAATTTAAAAACTATTCTAGCTCACGGAATGTTCAAAAATTAGCCCACAAGGCGCAGTTTGCTGAGAGCCTGCTCTAGAACACTACGATTCCAATGGCCCGATCATGGCATCTTGCTGCTGGCCACCTACTCCTTCTTGAAATGGACTTTTCTCTGTTTTTTTTTTTTCTTATATCACCACATTCTTCTGGTTCTCCTCCTACTCCTCTGACTGCTCCTTCTCAAACACCTTAGCTCCTCTTGGGCATGTTATAAGCATGCAGTAAGTATTTGTGGAATGAACGAATGACTCCAAAATCTATGCATCCATAGTCCAGACCTCTTCCTAAGGCCCAGATCACCTAGCCCAATACCCCCGCTTTAAAGATGAGCAAACTGAGACCTAGGCCAAGGTCAAGTAGGGTGTCTTTGAAAATCAGGCCCCAATCCAGGGCTTTTGTTCAGTGGTCGTCCCACTGTGTCCTTGAGATTGGAGCAAACAGTTCTGCTGCCCCACCCCTCCACCTCCCTGCCCCTCCCCTGGCAGCCAGTAGCCACAAGAGGCTCACGTACATGGTAAGGTTTCTCTCCCGTGTGGATTCGCAGGTGGCTCTTCAGAGTCTGAAGGTGCCGGAAACGGGTGCCACAGATTTCACAGGGATAGGGCTTCTCACCAGTGTGGATGAGCACGTGGGCACGGAGGTGGGCCACCTGAACGGGAGACCGAAGCATGAGACGCTCTGTCGGGGTGGGCTGCAGACCCCTCAGCAGCCCCCCATCAGCACGCATAGGTTGAGGGGTCCTTTCCCTACGCCCCCTGCTCACCTGTACAAATCTGGCTCCGCAGGTTTCGCATTTGTAGGGCTTCTCTCCAGAGTGAATTCGAGTATGGGTTTTCAGATTGGCTGGCCGGTTGAACTGGGCCCCACAGATATTACAACGATAGGGTTTCTCACCTATTACCAAGAGAAAGAGAAGAAGGAAAGCCATATTCAGCAGAGGTCTCCATAGTTCCTGGGCCCTGGATTTCAAAGCAAGCTGCCACGTTGGCTTTCTTTCCCATAGAAGATGTCAGAGAAGATCTGGGGTCTGCCTCCTGGCCTGCCACCCTTCTCTCACACACACATCAGCATGCCTTGCAGGCGACCAGGTCAAGAAGCTGGCGGTGACAAGGAGAAGTGGAAACAATGCCGGGCGTGGGACGGGGAAAGAGCGAGCTTCCAGGAAGCCTTAGAACCAGCTTTGTCATTAGGATTCTCTAACTGCGGGACCTGGATGAGTGACTCCTTCTCTGTGCCTCAGTTTCTCTCTCTGGAACCTGAGAATGTAGATGACCTGGGGAGGCTCTTCCAGCTCTTCGCTTGGATAAGACTGATTCAATAATCACCCTCTCACCAGGGAGATACAATCAGGAGGCTGCTTTTATTTCTCTCTTTTAGAACAAACATGCTCTTGCCCTCATGGCAGCTACAGCTAAATTCCATTTGCAAGAGAGGTGGGGCCTGAGTTGGAGTAGATGCTCAGACCTGGGAACCTAACAGAAGGGCTGAGCCTTCCTCCATGCAAAGTTTCTGGGCTAATGGACCCATTTAAAATATCGAGAGTCAACTCTGGACAACAATCAGGTTATTAGAAGCTACCTGGTAAAGGAATGTGAGTTGATAAGGAACAAGCCCTTAGAGGAAACCAAGAGGCCTTTTGTTTTTTTCTGGATTTACAAAAACTGAATCTGCTTTGCCTTTCTCAGCCTCAGTTTCTTCCCCTGTACAGTGGGAGTAACACTTCTGACGCCAGCGAAGGCAGAGAAACAGGACAGAGCATCTCAGAGGGAAGACAAAGCAGACAGAGAGTGGACGAGTCGCCTGGCGAAGACATGACAGGGCGAGGCCCCTCATTCAGGCGGGGACGGGCCCACTCCCTGCCTCACCCCACCAGGTACCAAGGCCCCGCACTGCTTTCTCCAGGATCCTCTTCCCGTTCTGCCCCGAGGAACCCTGGCAAGCTGGGGCGGGTGGGCGTGGAGGGGCAGGGCCATACCCGTGTGGACGGTCTTGTGGCTGGCGAGGTTGCCTTTGTAGCGGAAGGAGGCCTGGCATCGATCGCACTTGTAGGGTTTGTCACTGTGGGTCTGCAGCGTGTGCCTCTTGAGTGAGGCCTCCTCAGAGAAGCGGCAATCACACTCATTGCAGAAGAAGGCCCCATTCTCTGTCGGATGGTGGGAGGGGGACATCGACGTCAGCACGAGGAAGGGGGAAGGGCTCCGAGGCCTCTCTCTTCTGTAGCTACCCCCAGTGCCAAACTGAACTCTCGGCCCCCTGCCCACCCGACATTTGTAGGAGCCCAGAGCAAAGGGCCTGTGGGGGTTTTATTTTTCTTAGCATTTAGAGTCTAGTCATGGAGGAAAAAGGAGACAGATTTGAATATTAAGGTACAGAAGAGAAACACAAACCAACAGGGCCCCATATGGCCTGCAGCAGCTTGAGGAAGGCTCAGCAGGGCTCTGAGAACAGACTGTTCTTATCAGTTCATAGTTTTATTTACATTCCTACACAGAAGCCCTCGGGCAAGACCCTTCACCTCCCTGAGTCCTGTCTGTGGCTCTATCTCCAAAATCAGGATTATAAATCCCATCCTGCCTACTGTATAACACAAAGCATTACAGGAATGTAAGATATAAATCAAATTCAATGACACTGTGAGGTCACTGAAGGAGGAATTAATGGTGAACATGGTCACCTTTGTCCCCATCGGGATTTCATGTCTCCTGAACACTTCTGTGAGATTGGGAGACCAAGGATGCTGATGGAAGTAGAAACAGAGGCCCAGAGAGAAGGAAATGGAGTGCAGAGCACAGGCAAATGGCCAGGGGGACAGGAGGGGACAGTCCCTGCACTCCCAACTATGGGTCCATGAACCTGTGCCAAACCGCTCAATGTAAGGAAGTAATTTTTTTCTTTTGTTATAACAGTTTGAAAATGACATGTCATGGTGGCTTACCCCCAATTAGGTATTATTGGGCTCTACGACTGCAGCCAGAGCTGGGCAAGAGGCAGACTTTCTTATCTGGCAAAAACTGGGGATGCCAATCAGACCATCCAGAAACTTTAATTTAATAATTCAGGTCAACTAATCGAATTCAGCTACCATTAACTGAGTATCTACTCTGTGCTAGAGACTTACTAGGATCTATGGGAGATGCAGGAATGAATAATTCTTCTCCTCATAGAATGGGCAGCCTAGCAGGGTGAACTAACACGCACCCAGATCAGTAAAGAGGCTGGGTCCGGAGGGACTGAGAAAGTTCTGGGAGTTGTACAGCCAGCCCCACAAGCTACGTTTGCTGGCATGAAGCTGAAGAGGCTATTTGGTCATTCTCTGTTACCCCAGATTAACTCTAAGATGCCATCCTTGTTTGGTCAGCCTAGTTCCCTAAAAGGTCTAGAGAGGGGCGATCGACTGGTGACTTTAAATGCCAACGGACTTCCAATCAGTGACTTCTCCCAGTCGATGACAACAGTGTAAATAAAATGAAAACACAAACCCTGTGGAGCAGAGGCAGGGCCTTCCTTCTCCCTGGCAAGCAGAGGGCAGGGAAGGGACTCACCACAGCTAGAATCCGAGTACTCAGACTGGGTCTCCCCCATCTCCTCGGGGAACGTGGGGCCGGCGGTGTGGAGGCACATCTCCGCGTGCTGCGGGGACTGAGAGCCGCAGGACGTGCACTTGGGGGGGTGCAGGTAGAGTGGCGAGTGGCTCTCGCTGCTGCTGCGGGGGGAGCCTGTCAGGGACCTGCGGGTAGAAGGACAGAGGCTCTGAGCTGGAGCAGGGTGGAGCATTCTGCCTGGCCTCGATGCCATGCCCTCCTCCCAGGGCTCAGGCAAGCCCAGAGGCCCCTCTGGACCTGGGGCCTCAGCTATCCTCAAGCCTACCTCCAAACACATACACACAGAGGCCACTGACGGGGTCAAGCTGAGCCAAAACCCCACTCCAGGGCCCAGTTCTTCCCCTCAGCACTGCAGACACAGCCTCTCTCAGTCCAGGGCAAGAGTGAGGATTCCCTCTGCCACACTGATACCACAGGAGTGGCCTTTGGGATTCACGGAATGCTCTTCTACCATAGAAGAGAATCATCTCTCTTGCTATGAAAAAATATACTAAAGCTTAATATCCTTCCTTAGGCTAACTCAATCAATAGGCACTTATCTCACACCTCTAATATGCTCAGCATTGCAGGCAAGAAAAGAACACAGCCCTGCATCCATCAGAAGTGACCCCAGAACCCTGTCCAGGTAAGCCCCGACCGCAGGCCTGCCCTGCCTTTGAAATCACCTGTTGACAATGTTATTGAGCCGGCTGGCCTGTGGGATGGTAGAGTCCTCCCCGTTGGCACTGAGCTTAGTTGGGGACTGGAGGTCAAGGTTCTCGGGCTCCATGGGCGGCTGGCAGGCCTGTGGTGCAGTGTAGGCTCGAGGGGAAAGGCGGCCCAGCTCAGCCTGCTCGGGCCCCTCTGGTTTGGCATTCTGGTTGAGGCTGTTGAGCACGATGAACTTGTATTTCTTCCAGTTGCAGGCTTTGGGGTCAGTGGGGCTCTTGGCTGGAGGGGAGCCAGAGGTCTGGAGGATGCAGGCATTCTTGCTGCTGCAGGACTCCGTGGGCGAGTTAGGCTGGCAGTCGGACTTCTGGGGGCTCTGTGGACTAACCAGACCCTTCCGGTTCAGGGGTGCACTGGGGGGCTCGAAATGCAGGGCAATCTCATCCTCTGAAGAAGGCCTCTCTTCCTCCTTGCCAGCCTTGTCACAGGGGAAGTATGGGGCATTCCGGGCCAAGGGGGCAGCAGGCTTGGGGCCCTCGGCCACGCTGTAGTGCATGTCACTCCGTGCCTCTTCTGGGGCTGCCTCTTTGGGCGAGTAGATGTTGCTGTGGCATACACTGTGGGACAGCTCCATGGCAGGCCGGCTGTACTCACCAGGGACTGGCCTGGCACTATCGCAGGGGTGGGCCCGCTCCTTGGGGAAGGGATTGGCCACAGGCATCCGGGCATCGCGCAACTCCTCATCGGAGAAGAGGAAACTGCTGACGGGGAGGTGGCTGTACACGGGATAAGAGGCTGGCGGTGTGGACAGGCCACTGTACAGGCTGGGGGGAAAGGCTCTGCTCTCACACCCGGGGGCATTCCTCAGCGGCAGGCTGTTCTCCATCACCTCACGACCCCGATAGGCCATGATGTCTTGGGGCATCAGCATCCGGCTGTTCAGGAACTCTTCACGGGGAGGTTTGATGGCAGGAACCATCTCTGCTTCACTGTAGGAGAAAAAAGAGAGGAGACACGGGCCTCTAAATCAGAACTGTTAAAGATTTTACTTATTTATTTTTCCCCCCAAAGCCCCAGTAGATAGTTGTATGTCATAGCTGCACATCCTTCTAGTTGCTGTCTGTGGGACGCGGCCTCAGCATGGCCGAAGAAGCGGTGCGTCGGTGCACGCCCGGATCCGAACCCGGGCCACCAGCAGCGGAGCGCATGCACTTAACCGCTAAGCCACGGGGCCGGTCCTAAATCAGAACTGTTAAATGGATGACCTTCCAAGTGACACTGGACTATGTAACCACATTTGTGCTTGGGTCAGCTAGACATCAGGGATGGGCTTTGGAGTCGGAAAGTACTTGCAGTTACAAGGCATTTATGCTAGAAGTCTAGCAAAAGCCCACAGTTGGGGAAACAAGGCCCAGAGAAGGGAAGTGAGTTACCCACACAGTCTGTGCCTATGTAAACATGGTCTTGTAGCTTTAAGTCACATGTATGTATGTGTGTGAATCCATATAGAATGTAAAGCTTTCAGAGCCCTTATCTCATTCCCCCCATGCAAAATCCTGCAAAGCAGAAAAGGCAGGTATTATTGTCTCCATTTTATACAAATGGAAACTGAGGCTCAGGGAGGGAAGAATTTATACAATACTGGTGCCACACCAGTTTTCGGAGGGTCATAGACAAACTGGTGCCCTGTCAAAGAAAGGACTTGCCCTATATGCCCACCAGAGTCAGTGGGAAGTTGACTGTGGAGAACAGGCAGCGTCTGCCAGTGCAGGAAGCATGGCTCCGAAGCAGCCAGACCTGCTTTCCAATTCCAGCTGTGCCACTTAGCAGCTATGTGACCTGGAGCAATTTACTTAACCGCTCCAAGCACAAGGCCTGACGCAGAGAAAGTCCTCACAAATGACAGCAATGATGATCTTGCCACCATTATCACGCACCGGAGACAAAGAGCTCTAGCTGCACATACTTGAAGGGACATTATGTGGGCGAAAAATAGGCCAGCTAAACATGATCACAGTTAACAGAGCTAGAACCAGTGAGTGAAGGTTAAGGGAGCCAGATTTCAGCTCGCCATAAAGAAGAGCTTTCTAACTGTCCAAGGTAGACTGCATGGCTCTGGGAACACTGAGTTCCTGGCTCCTGAAGGTGTGCAGACAGAGGCTGGAAACGCTTCTGCTTGAGAAGGGATGCAATCACCCTAGAGCAGCTGAATCAAATGATTCTAAAGCAGTCAAGCCCCAAGTCTCTGTTCCACTTAGCAAAGCTCTTCACCTCTTTGGCTCTCAGGTTCCTCCCCTTTATTTTTTACTTATTTATTTTTTTTGTGAGGAAGATCGGCCCTGAGCTAACATCTGCCAACCCTTTTATTGCTGAAGAGGGCCAGCCCCGGGCCAACATCCATGCCCATCCTCCTCTACTTTATATGGGACGCCGCCACAGCATGGCTCGTCGACAAGCAGTGCGTCAGTGCGTGCCCAGGATCTGAACTGGCGAACCCTGGGCCGCCGCAGCAGAGCGTGCACACTTAACCACTTGTGCCACCGGGCCGGCCCCCGAGGTTCCTCACCTTTAAATGATGGTCATGTCTTACCAGCCCTCAGGTAGTGGGTTAGACCCAATGAACTCAATTTAATTCAATAAATGTCCTCTCTAGTAGGAGCAGGGTGACATAAATGATGAGTAAAGCAGCTCAGAGTCTGGTAGGGGAACTAAGGCACATATGTAAATAGTTATAATAGAAGTCTAAAGGAGAACTAAAACATATATGCAAACATATATAGATAGAAGGAAGATAGAACTTAAGATAGAAGGAAGGTCTAAAGGGCAGGCAAAAGGCTTTGGAACACTTTTTGGAGAGGAAGGGCTGAGGAACGAGCTGAGTGATAATCATAAGAACATGTACCAAGGACATCTCCTTGGGATGGCATCCCAGCTTGGCCTTGTAGGATGGGTGGGAGGTGAGGGTATATCAAGAGAATGGAAGAAAGCATGAGGTGAGGATGCACAAGACACATCTGGACAGCAGGAAGGAGTCGAGTCTGTCTAAAGTGTTAAGAGTTAATTAAGGGCAAAAGTGTGCAAAAATAGTGGAAACATAGGTTGTGGTGTGTCACAGAAGATTATTTTTTCTGTATGCACGCATCATCGAGGGTTTCTGCTCCCTTCTGATCCCTTCCATCTCCAAGGCTTCCATCTGCATGGCAGCTCACCTGCCCTTGATAAACTTCCGGCAAGTGTCCACAACATGCTCCATCTGCAGGTACATGGCTGTGGCCATCACGGCCATGATGTTGCCCTCCCGCAGATTGAGCCGTGACGTGTACATGAAGTCCAGGAGGATGCAGAACCCCTCGGGGTTGATCTCAGGATCCAGATTGATCACGCTAAGGTTGCATTTCAACTGGTCTGTGAAGATGCTGTAGAACAGGCCACTGTAAAACAAACAAATGTCTCACTAAACAGACACACAGAATCTGTCATCAATTACAGCCAGCATCAATGCTCAGCCCCTCTCCCCTAGCCCTAGCTCCAGAACTTCCATGGTAATGAATAATAGCTGCCATTTATGGAGAGCTTACTAATACTCACTTATAGAGAGCCAGAGTCATTAAGCACTTTACATACATTATCCTGTGTTCCTCACAACCTTCCAAGGTAGACACTACCATTCTCCCCCTTTACAGATGGGGGAACTAAGATCAGAGAGGTTAAGTGATTTTCTCAAAGTCACAGGACCTGTTTTCCTTTTAGTCTTAACTGCAAAGATTACTAGAGTTAAATTTAGCACTCATTTGCAGTAACTAGTTTTAGTCTCTAACTTTGGGATAAGCATTTCCCTTCTTGTTCCATCACATTATCCTTATTTAAAAAATCCTATTGTATTTTCTTGGAAGCAAGTTGGGTATTGATAACAAATAATTAAAATGATGCCTACATCTACAGTCTATGCCTACAGATAGTCCATAGACTATCATAAGGTCAATATTTCTAGAAGGTTCCAAGTCAAACTTCAAGCCACACCTCCAGGTACCGTGTGGTCTAGTAGAGGAAAGAGCACGTCAGTTCACCTAAGAGTATCTTTGTTTTATCACCTGTAAAATGGAGGTCATCATTATAACACAGGTCACTATGAAGATCCAGGGAGATGAGGTAATACAAAATTGCTCTGAACACTTGAAATACTTGACAAACATAAGAATCAGCTGGCTCACTTTCACTAACTTACATCTACTCTGAAAGACCCATGAAAATATCGTCACAGTATAAAATAAATATGGTTACAGAATAAAAGAGAAAAGATTTCAAATTAACTTGCTTAAAATATTTTATAACTCTCACTTTTCATTTTTTCCCTGGTTAACTGAAGTTATTCTCTATGTTTGCCCCAAGCACGTCCCTTCTTGAGATAGCATATGATTTCTTCTCTCTCTAATCCCACAGAACAGAAACTCTTTCTTTTCTAGAAGTGTGTTCATTCATTTGCTTCCTGGGAAGCTACTCTGCCCGGCCATGTGCTGGAGATCTGGAGACCAATGAGATGTGATCCCAAACACAACAAAAGGCCCATAGGTTCCGCCTCGCTGACGGCTAGCACCATAGCTCCGCCTGTAGCCATCCATCTTTCCCTTCCACAACCCTCACCTGCAGGCCATGAGAACCGTCTTATGGGCTCTAAACTGCTCACGGCTCACTACTATGACAACATCAGTCAAGATGTCGCGGCTCCGGAGGCGATTAAGGTTGAGAAGAACATCACTGGCATGGCGGGTGAACTGGATACAGCTGTCAGCCAGCGAGGTCATTTTGTCTTCACCTGAAAAAAAGGGTCAAAATCCTGTTAGTTCTCCAGAACCTGCTTCCTGCTTACCAGGAGTGTGAGAACAGGTGGCCCGGCCTGCTAACGTGCTGAATGCAAACTGAGGTCCCTTGAGTGGTCTGTGAACAATGCATGGCTCATCTCTGGCCACTATTCTTTACATGTGTAAAATGGGGAGAATAATCTTTACCCAACAAGTTGGACTAGAAAGTGCTTTAGGGGAAAGGGGAAGGGAATGAGTATTTGTGGAGCGTTTTTCCCGCATGCCAAATACTCTGCCAACACCGAGAGGCAGCAAGTGTGTGACAGGGGACAGAATCCATGCTTTGAAGGTTCTAATGCGACCTTTACCTTTTGCTAGCTGTGTGACTTGGAGAGGCCTGTTTACTGTTTCTGGGCTTCTGTTTCCCAAAGCGGGAGTAGTAATGCCTATGTGATTGTAAAAATTAGAGATATGTGCCTGGTGCATACTAGATTCTCAAAAATTGCAGCTATTCTCATCAGTATCTCATTTCATTATCCTAGCCACCAGCTGTCTCTCCTCTATTAGGCTTTAGAATTAATTGTTTGAATGTACCTGGAGCACCTAGCACATTGTGCCCCAATTAATTTGAACTAAGAAATGAGTAAGGGAATGCATGATCACACAACGGTGTCAAGATAGTCTAATGCAGGGGTCAGGGGGTGAGGGCTGGGAGCGATGGAGAGGGAATCAGCTATCCTTTATCACATCTAATGGAAAGTGGCAAAGTTCACAAAAACACATGCATTGGCAAATTCAAAAGAAACAGTTTGTCCACAAAATTTTAAAGCATATTATTCAATTTACTTACCCAATGCCTTGATTCACAGTCCAAAATTTTGCTTAAAACCTGCAGGGAAGAGAAAAAAGCAAACAGAAATTGATTTAACGAATGTAAGATTGTCCACTATAGTCTTATTTTAGGACACACGTATTTAGTTTTACTTTGATAGCTGCAGCCTGCCAGCTGGTGTGGTTTCACCACAAGCTAGCAAACATTTTTCCAGCTCGGCTCTCACAGAAACAACAGGCACCCGAAGCTATGTGATAATAATGTTTTTACCCTGAGTACTGGGAATGCAATTACATACATTAATTACATATACATATACATATATTTCCTTTCTCAAAGTAAAAAATGTATACCATTCAAAGGCCCTTGAGTTTATGGGAAAGAAAAAAAATAAGAAAAGTAATTCTTTCAATATTAACGAGTATGATCCTTGAGGGACCTAAACACTCTGGATGCCTTACAAAATCCACTAAAACATTACCTGTCATGTCTCAGAATGATTCTGCAAGGCCAACAGGGTCAATATCTTTATTCCTATTTCACTGGTGACAAAACTGAGCCTCAGGGGTTCAAGTGGCTTGTTTAGGACAAACAGCCAGGCAGTATTTCCTGATCATCTCAAACACTTAAGACTGAATACGGAAACTGCGGAATACAACCTGAGATGGTGTATCTACACTTTTCTTGAGAATCTTTGCCTTCTTTTTCAAAGCTTCCTCTCCCTTCCCTCCTGGGTCTAAGACCAGATATAACGCTACAAACTTCCAAGTTTGTGCTTCCCCCTACTGGTGAAAGATTTAACTGTGTGGTTTAGCTGAGAACTGGCCAGGGAGCACTCATAAAGTATGTACCCTCTCCAAATTGGTTTCTCTAAAGCAAAATAATTTAAAGTACAGGTGTAAGACTCTTATTTATGATCATATGTGGGCTGCAAAACAAAACAATATTTGAACCTTCTTTCCTCTTTTTTTTTTTTTAACATAGCCCTTTAGAGCTATTTTCCGGGTAAAGGGGCCTGAGGCCAGGGAGGTCATGTTGGGCCACATAGATGGTCAGTGGCCCGGCCCTAGATCTTCTGGCTCAAATTCCTTTCCCCTTTCCAAATCAGCCTACGTGCTGTGGAACACGCAAGACAGCACCCTGATGTGGGTGAATCTCATTTTTAAGTTTCTTCCCCCACACAAACACTTTGCCCCCATTCCAGGCTGCTGAGTCTTACCAAATGAGCACTCTAAAATGAGAGGTTTCCTTGAGTCTGTAACCAAACACTCTGACATTTCTCTGTGGTCCCAAGTGCCAGACACTCAATTTCATCGGCTTCAAGGTTAGTGTGTGCATGTGAGTGAGTGGGGACGGGGGGAAGGAAATGGGGAAAGGGAGAGGACAGAAAAAGACAAAAGAACCTATTTCCTCCTCTCCCCATCCTAACTCAAGATGGGCAGAGAGATACACTAAATTGGTCCTAACCAAAGTTCGATGATTATCTCCTCTGTAAAAGAATGCTGAAGACACATGTGAAGTTTATTTATAAACCTTCTCCTCTTTCCCCATGGAAGAGATCTCTAAACACTTCTGGAATACCTAAGGCAGTCCTTTAACCAGCTTCAGCCACTAGCTCGCTTGTGGATTTCTAGTCACTGACTTTTGGAACCACGGGAAGCCCAGATTTGCCATTTCACCTTGACAAGTGGCAATGACTCACTCCAGATAAGGAATGAAACAAACAAACAAAACAATTCCCCTGGGTCCACTGTCAGTCCGGCCCGGGCTAGGCACTTATCACCCTAAAACTCTTCCTGGCTTGGCCAAAAACAAATGCACATACACTAAGGCCCACGTCCTTATTAGGTCCACTCCTTCCTTGGCTAGCTCTGTCTTAGGAGGTCCCATAACTAGTGACTATGTGAGTTATGGTGGGTGTGGGCAATGGTGCCTCCCTCTAGATGCTGCAGGTTTGGAAGCACCACTAGCATTTGGTTTGTTTTTTACAGACCACTCAGCTCTTTCCCATCCATCATTGCATCTGATCCTCAGCCCTGATTTACTGGGGAGGACACTGAGGTTTCAGCCGGTAAGCCTTGCCCAGGATCTCAAAACCCTGTCTACTAGCTTCGGCCATCCTACCAATGCCACACACAAGACTCATTCCACAAAAACAACCAAAAGAGCAGAGCTGTCAAGGAGAAACTGACAACTCAACGGCCCAAACCGGACTCCCCCGACCCCAACCCCACCCCAGCCGCAGTAACCACCAAGTGAGAGTTAAACTTTGTCTTCTCCACCCCACACACTTTCTCTCCTCTGGTGCTTTCCCTGTGTATTTTCAATTAAGCACCTTGAGAAGAAGGCAGATCTTTTAAAGGATTTAGAGAAGAAAAAAGAGGGACATTCCCCTAAAAAAAAAAAAGGCAAAGAGAAAGAAGACAGCAGAAACGAGAGGGAGAGAGACAAGACAGGAGGTGACAGAAGAGCGAGAGGCGAGGTTAAGAGCGAGAGCGAGCCAATACGACGACCCCATCTTTTCCCTCCCTCCTCCAATCGGCGGGCGCTAGGCAGCCCCACTCTCTCGCTCACACACGTGGGCACAACCTGAGTCCTGCGGCCCCCGGGGCAAACCCGCGCAGCTTCGCCCACCCCCACCATATCATACCTGTCTGCCAGAGACCGCCCACCCCCGGGTGCTCTGCGGGCACTCGAAGCCCCTGCAGGCGCGACGGAGGCCCCGTGGTATGACCGCGGCTGCCCTTAATTTGGTTACATTCAAGTAAAACTTTTTGTGCACCTCGGTAGCTAACATTGTGTGTGCCTTTCTTTTTCCTGTTACGCCGTCAAGGCAGGGGGCAGTGAGGGGAATGGCACAGCCCTCTCATTCCCGGAACGTAGTCGATCTCAGCTCAGCGGATTTCACAGAACACTCTCTGCCTATCGCCGGCTCCAACGAGAAGTAACTTTCCAGGAAGCTACCGGCCCCGACAGCCGCCAGGATCGCTGCTTGCGCCGCGCGGGCCTCCGGGGATTCACCCGAGGAGGGGGGCTGCCCGAGGAGGCTCGCCGGGAACACGGCATACTTTCCCCTAAATACCTCGTCTGCGACAGGTCCAGGACTCTTACAGTTCACTTAATCCAACCCTTCCCCCACAACAATTTTATAAATGAGAAAAGGCAGACAAATTAGTAGGGGAGCCGGCCTAGAACCCAGGATTTCGGGTCCAATCCGAGGCTTATTTCAAGACTTCAATTTGCCCAATTCTGGCCTTTTTTGCCTGGTGCATCGTTTCTTTTTTTCTCTTTTTCTCTCTTTTTGTTTGGCCCCCTTCCCTCTTTTTTAAAGGTGTGATTAGGCGAGGCGTCAAGGTCAAAAAGATGGAGTCCCTAGGGCTGAGGGTCTCCATCCAGCGCGCCCCAGCCGGGTGAGAGAAAAACTAAACCGAAAGTCCCTTCCGCCTACGTTGGCAAGAAGGGGAGCCCAGCTCGGCTCTATTTCCGCCCAAAGACTTTAGCATAGGAGCTGCCAGGACGAACCTGGCCAGGTTTCGGGAGTTCTGAATCTCATTTCTCCGAAACGGTAGAGACATGGTTAGGATTTGGCAGAGGCCGGGAGGCAGACGCCAGGGCGCGCACGGGCGCGCTCCAAGGGTGCCTCGCCTTCCCGTGGCCTTCCTTGGAATTACAACTCCGGGGCGCCATCTACTAAGGGGTTTCAGTATGGGCTCCCAGAGGCGCTTTCGGGGGCCAGGGGTAGCGGTTGAGGGGCGAGAAACACGCAGCCTCTAAGGCCGCAGTCCAGTCCTGAAACTGGCGGGTGGCGTCACTGCGCCGCGCATCCTATTAGTGACGGAGGCGGGGTCAGCGTCGGTCCATAAAGACTGGGCCTCTTCCGCCTCATAAAATCCTTCTTTGAGGCATTCTCATCCCTTCGCCCCGTGGGATAAAGGTGAAAGCCGAGGCTGAAACAATATGGGAAGGGGTGAGAATCTAGAAAGGGAAGTTAAAATAAAGTAAATCCACTTATTGGAAATTAGGAGTCCCACGGTTCCGGGAGCTCAAACCTAATCATGTCTTACCGCTGCCTAACACTAGAGAGAGCCCTCCATCAAGGCTTGAAACCAACAACCCCCTTGTCGCCCCGCCCCTCCTTCCCATTGACCTACTTTAGACACAGTCTCCAGATTTGGAGAACACCTTCCGCCCTTCCCCCCCTCTTCTCTATCCCGGCCGGCCTTTGGATTATTGGTAATCTAATAACTCCAATAACTCGCTGAGAAATCCAAAGGAGAATCTGGAAGTGCAAAGCACTGTTTAGGGGCAAGGACGAGGAATTTTAATAAGGCTGGAGCTGCTGCAGTGAAACCCGCATCAGGGCTTCTGCCGGAGCGCTCCCTTTCTCCGCAGCGTCTCAACTAACGAGCTGTTCAGGTCTGGCCACAGTGGTCCGGCAGTAGGGGGTGGGGTCCACCTGCGGAGTCGTTTTTGTTCTAGGGGCGAAACACTCAGCGCTCTTGGCTGGGAGGCGAGAGGGTGAGGAAACGACAGGAGATGAAAGCGAATTTGATAATGCGGTGGCCTCGGCAGTCGCTTTGAGTGACCGAGGTGCTCGGGGACATTATGCCCGGACTTTCATTTCTATCACGTTTCCTGCTAACAGCGTTCTTGCAAGCCTGCAAGCTTCTAGGAAATGAAATAAAATAGAGGGATGTGTTTTATCATCAAGATCTCTAGAAGAGCTGCAGAAGGGACGTTCCTCATGCGCCCAGCTCGCGACAGCCTGCCAGAAAGGGCCGGAAGACAATGCCAGCAAACCACGTCCCCGAGCAAAGATATCTTGGCCATCCTGGCTGGACCGGGCTCGGCCTTTGCAAAAAAAAGGCTGGCGGGGGAGGGGAGCGGCATGATCTCCCCCAGCAAACAATGCCTTTAAAAATCCGATCCGGACAGAAGTCAGCCAAGGTCTTTATTCACGTTAATGAAGATGGAAGGCACTAACTGTCCTTGGAAAGGGATGAGTCAAACTTGACCGCTCTTCAAACACGTCCCCAGATTCGTTTCCAACCCGAACAGAGGCGCGTTTCTCCGACGCGGCCTCCAACAGCTCCCGCAGTGGGAGAGGCTGAACTCGATTCCGGTCGACCAGGGCGGTGGAGACGACGGCGTCCCCCGCGGGTGTGCGCGCCGGCGGTCGCTAGGGGCCGCCAGCACGCGGACGCCAGTTTGCCATCTTAAGTTTTGAGCTCCGAGAAAGAAAACTTTTCTGAGAAGCTGTTGTGGCACAAATTCTAAGAGAATTACACTCTGCCTATCCATATGAGCCCCACACACAACTGGTTGCTAGCCAAGCCACTGAACTAAGATTGGATGGAAGGGGAAGGGAGTGATGTCAGGATCCAATTGTGAGCCATGGGCGCAGGGGGGTGCACCTCCACAAGTCTAGGAACCGGGCCTTAATCACCCCCTAATAAACGCACACACCCCAAGATCTGAGACCCCCACCCCTCAGCACTACAGTAGAACTTTCATGTGTGTTATTGAAAATCTGAGGCCGTACTTTCTAAACAAATTCCTCCAAGATTGCTAAGTAACCGTTTCCAACTACGGTGACCTAAGAGGTTAAAATCATGGCTCTCTCTGAGTGCTGCTCCTTTCTCTTAGATACCTCGAAGGAGCGGAGATAAACTCGCCTTTGAGACACTGACCCGGAATTCAGAAGCTTAAAATCTGGTCCGGGTTAGGTTAGTAACTCACCATTAACAGACCCCCTCATCACGCCTATTTCCTCAATTGTAAAGAGTTATATATCCTACAGCCCCGTGGCATCCTTCCACCACCGACTTCTCCCGGGGAGAGGCTACAGCGACAGGGAGATAGTGTTCAAAACCGGTTATTTTGTGGTTCTATTACTGGAGGCAGATGCCCATCGCTGAGTGACCGTGGACAGGGCAAGCATCCGGAGGCTTTCTAATTTTCATCCATGTTACCCAAACATTGGAGGTTGGAAGTCATCCTCATTGGAGGGTGCCCTCCCTCTGTCAGTTCTAGAGCCTAGTCGGAATACTTGGGGACCCGAAGGGACGCGCTTGGCCCACCGCCCAAGGCGGGGAACTCGGCCACGATCTGCCACTAGGTGGCAGACTCAGTCTGTCCGAAAATCACCGCGCGGCCACAGCCTTCCACATCCGACTGCCCCCCACTTTTTTTTTTTTTTCTGTTAGGGGGTGGCGGTTGCCTCCATAGGCAAAGCTGAAAAACGTTTAATTTACTGGATGTAATTCCGTTCTTCTCGATGCACACGCCTCTAGTAACCATAACACGGTATCTAGAGTTGCGTTCATATATTATACATTGATTTTTCCAGCCGGAAAGGCTGAATGTATTGGGAAGAGAAAGAAACAGTACACTTGTCTTCAAAAAGCAGAAAGGCATACGACGGTATTAGCAGAGATTCCTGCCAAACGCTGGTCGACCAGCACAGAAAGTCGGGAATAAACTCCTGATCCCCACGGAGAAAAGGGGCCCTGGAGGCCAAGGGCAGGGTCCCACCCAGGCTTACAGCGCTCGGCAAAGCTGGGGGTGGGGACAGGGGGACGAGCATGGTCTTTGGTGGGGCTGCTCGTCTCAGATTGGGAGGCGGGGAGGGTTGGGAGGAGCCGTTCCTGGCTTCCAGTGGAGAAAAGAGAAACCTGCCAGCTTTGCCACAACACAGCATCCTCACTCGGATCACTGCGGCGGCGTTCCCACTTGTTGCGCAGTGCAGGAAACCGGTGCGCGCCACTCTACTTTGCCTCCCAGGGGGCTCCAAACCCAGCTATAGACCAGCCTACCATTGCCCCACGCCATCCACAAACCTCCCTCCTCAACCTACTCCGCACATTCACCACCATCAGCGCCAGCGAAACAGCAGGATTTCCAGTCACTACGGTTTTTTACACCAAAACATTCCTCCATGTCTCAACGTCAGACAAGCAGCAGAATTCAGTTGCCCTAAGTCAAGTCCAAGGAGGAAGGAGGGCCACCTCAGCCTGGAGAACTCGCCTACTTAAAGCCAACCAGTCAACCCCGCCTCGCGCCCGCGCGCACACACACTTATTCGAACTGCTTTGC